GAGAGAGAGAGAGGAACTGGAAATTCCATCAAAATGATGTCCTACTCTTCTTTGATAATTTCATACAATTTATTTTTTTCTTCTTCTTTGCAATGCAAAAGTTTCAGAAAAGCTTTCAAACTAGAAATTCCATCAAAATAATGTCCTACTCTTCTTTGATTATTTCATACTCATAGATATAATTAATTTTTTTTTTCCCTTTGATATACAAAAGTATTAGAAAAGCTATCAAAGTTCTTACAAAGAGATGGGGATTATATAGCTTTTCTTTACAATTGCAAGAGGCCTGGCTCATGGAAATACAGATACTCCCCTGAGTAATTTAAAGTACAAAATTTATTAGATATCAACAAGAATATCATTTAAAATTCTAATTCCTCTCAAAACAAACTACTGGCAAATAAAATCTCAACTCTCAAGAGCATCAATAAGCAGGATACAATGATGAAAGTTTCAATTGATAAGTTCTGGTTCATTTATAAGTCCACAATCATCAAAGGAGAGAGGGACCTGTTCTCCCATGGTGAGGACAACATATGGGTTGCTGCTCTTTACGTCTCTGACGGCCAAGTTGATGCCCTTCATCACTCGAACTCTGAGAAGTCCCATTATTTTCTCCATCCTCTATCAACACAAAGCACCTCACAACTCTCTCTCTCTAGTACAGGAACACGATCAAATTCAACTGTTATCCCTATATATATCTCTGTGGAAGATACATCAAAAGATAAAGCAAACTTCTATATGAAAGCAATTTGGCAATTTTGTGCATGTGCATGCAGGGTCAAAAGCAGCAGAGGCTGCCACCCCACGGACTATTTTTAGAGGTGGTCATAAAAAAGATGCTCTGTCCTGTACCGAATAACTTTTTTGAGACGAGAAAAAGCTGTATATCTGAGAGTGGTTCTCCGATTTCAATTTTTTTTTTTAACATTTGTTTCATGCGGGCTGGACCGCATTTCTACATTATGCGGTCCAGAGGTATAAAGCACCCATCTTATAGATGGATGCAAATGGGTGATTCATTTAAAAACAATTGTAACCGTCCAAAAGTTTTCTTGATATAAGTATGGTGCAGTTGGCATTCAAATGCATCCGTAGCTGTAGAGGTAAGGTGTAACTTCAAATTTTATCATGGTATATAATTTTGATGTAAAATGTTCTAAGGATTATCTCAAAATCTATTTTTATATCTAATTATAAAATTTTAAATTTCAAAAATGGTTAAAATCAAGTAGATCTATAAACATATGAAAATCTTGAAAATGGACGCTGTAGATAATATGTTATAAAATGCACTAATTTTTTTTATTTTTCATGGTCAAACATCTCGATATCGAGATGATCAATCAAAGGGTTTTTCAACATTAAAACTACCTCTTCCGATGGATTTTTGATGTGCATCCGTAGTTCTACATTATAAGGTTGCATCCTTATACAAACTTTTTCTTATAAGTATCTTTTTTTTTTTTCCTTTCATATTCATGATTTCCATGTTAAAGATTATATATTATTTAAAAATTAGGATCAAATTATATTTAAAAATATATTAATTGCCAAGCTCGCATTTGTATAATATGCAGGCTGGCAGCATGCTAACCGAGTCCATTTGTTTTTAGGAGTAGCCATTTAAAAGAAAGAAGAAAAAGTTTATATAAAGGCGATGTTCTAAACAATCAATTTAGGAAAGTCAGTAGGAATTTATCAAATAGGATTTATCAAGCTTTCATATACCAATTTTCACGTTCTCCCAAATTCTAGGAAAGTAAGCAGCAGGGGAGAATCCCAGGAAACTACACATAAAGTTATCAAACACCTAAAAGATGTTTGAAGCCCAAAAATCATCAACGTGATCATCTCAATTTGTGGCGGATTTTGCTAAACATTTTGGGTTTGCTTTCAATAATTATGCAAAATTCCAAGCTTTAAAATGGTATTCTTTTAGCTGTCTGTTTTCCAATTCAGATAGAAAGTGATTCTCACTACTAGTGGATGCTATTCAAATCCAATGTCGTGCCTTATGGAGATTATAGAAAGTAACAAGATAATTGTCGTGTCAGGTTATTGCCTTAGATGTGGTCTATTGCCCATGTTTTCCACGAGGTTAACATAGAAGCTAATGCCCTGCGCATCGGTTTACCCCCATGATTTTGTGTAGTTGCTGTCCAGATTTTTTTTCTCTTACTTTATTACATGACTTAGCGCAACTGCCCTTTTATAGAGCTGTAAGATAATGTGTTCTTCATTTTCAGTTAATGAAAAAATTGAGTAGAGGGCCTTATCCCCACTGACTTACCCAAAAAAATAGATTTCAAGTTGTAGAAATAACGCATCTTGTAATATATTTTCAAATGTTCATAGATTTGCTCGATCTACACTACTTTTGAAGTTTAAAATTTTATAATTAAAAATAAAAATAAATTTTAGGCCATCACAAAAATTTCCAAATAAACATCATCTTTCGACACTACTTGAAGGTGTGCTTTATT